AGCATAAACCCGGGATTAGTTTTTCCCCACAAAGTTGTTTTTGTTTTAAATTTGAATTAGCTCTCAACATTTTAAAGACTGGGAAATTTAATATAAAAATTCATATTTGGGTCCATTGTGAGAAACTGATGTAGCTACATGCAGCCTATATTTTTTAAATAGAGCCAGAGCTGATCTCCCTTTGAGGTCAGGCATGTCCTCTCCAATTTCCTATAGATCCCATCCAAAACAAACGGTTTTCCAACAATGAGATCAAGGGTCAGATACACACTCTTCTGCCTATTTTATTCCTATAGCAGTAAGAAGTAAAAGGAAAGATGAGTGTTTCTACTAAATATGATTATTTATTTTGAAAACCAGACCAAGAGAGATTTTAATAAAAATAGGAAGAATATTTATTTGTGTAAATGAAATACTAATATACTTAGTATACTAAATATATACTAAACAAAAATTACAATGAAACTAAACTAATGCAACATACTTTCTTCAGTTCACAGGCCTGGACAGGACAGACATTTGAGGTTAAAGCTTGGCTCTAGCAGTCAGGCTGGATGTGTATGGCTATCGGCCAATATGGAAGAAAGGATTCAAATATATAATGAGTAAATTTTCCATCTGATAATCTCTAAAACCAATTCTCCTGAGAATCCACAGAAATCAAACGTCCCATGAAATATTTGGTTCTAATAGTACTATGGTTTTACTTTATCAGTTTATTTGAAATTATATATTTATTTATGCTTTTCTTTAATAGTATATTATTACTGGCTCCCTATTCTGCAAGCTGCCTATAAGGAAAAAAATAGGTACATTTTTCCTGCCAATTTAGTTCTCCTATAGAGTAATACTAAATGATGTTTGTTGAATGACTGAATAGAAAGAAACATCATAAATATGAACAGACATCCCATTTGTTTTATTTAAAATAAACTTATGAGGTAAGAAATAAGTAAGGACTACTAATAGGAAAAGTTTACTAAAGGTAAAAAAAGAAAATTTACCTTATTCAAATAGAAATTGGCAAAGAAGAATAAATCTGAAATTAAATTAGCAAAAATACTCATTGATTGCCCATTTACTATCAGTAGTAAAAACTAAATGCTTTTCTATGGCCTAGTACAGCATTATGCAAAAAATATCAGATGTGAGAAAAATGAAATGGGCCATGATAGTCAAATCAATCAATGCTAAGTACTGTAATAAATTTTGCATTTGAAAAGAGACTGACAAGGTGCAAAAATATTAAAAAATAATTAACTGTAGGATAACAGCATGATTAAGAGCTAAAGACTGGAGACTGAAACAGCTGAGTTAAAATTCTAGCTGCATGTTACACTTCATATTATAACTTTGTATAAGAGACAGTCTGCCCACACATTCATTTCCTCATCTGTAAAACAGAGGCAATAATAATCCCTCATTTGATCACTGTGAAGCTAAATGAAAATAGGTATCTGAAACACTCAGAACAATGTCATGATCACAAACACTCAATTTTAGTCAGGATGATGACACAACCATGGCAACAACGTCAATGACAACATTCATGCCAAAACCCAATACTTTGTCTATAGAGAACATTGCAAATGAGAGTATATTAGTCTGGTTACCACAAAAGACTAAGTTGCTTATACAACAATTTATTTTCTGACATTTCTAGAGACTGAAAGTCCAAGATCACGGAGCTGACTGAGTTGGTTTCTTCCTAGCTTGCAAATGTCATTTTATTGCTCCATGCACGTGCACTCCTGGTGTTTCTTCCTCTTCTTAGGAGACATCAGAACTTTGATATTGAGGATGTAACCTTTATGACCACATTTAACCTTAACTACCTCCTTAAAGGTCCTCTCTCCAAGTACAGTCACACTGTGTTTTATGACTTCAACATATGAACTTAGATGGGATACAATTCAGGCCATAACACCCAAAAACATTTTTAAATAAATATTTACTATTTTACATGTAAAACTATCTGCCACATTAGAAAAATAAAAGTTAAATAAAACTTGGAATGAATTATATATAAAATATTTTAAATGTGTGCCAAATACTTTCTATACCATGTATAATTAAATAGTAAAATAAAATTAATGCATGTAAATTGCCACTGCATGCTGAAGAAACATATTTCCTCTACAATACATAAGTCAAAATGCATTTACTAAATTCAGTAATGGCAAACATTGTACAATGCTAGAGATAACATGAACTGAAATTATTTCCCACTACAGAATGTATTAACTATTATATTTATTAATATATTCAAAGTATTGTATTTTTGTCTGACAAAAATGCATCGATCATAACCAATTCCATTATGTATTACTAAAATAAAATACAACTTTTTTACCTGCTGAAAAACATCTGTTCCCTCATCATAGTCGACCATACTGAAAAACAGTTTGTTACAAAAAGCAGACGAATAGCGCCAGGAGTTAGCCAGTATTTGATATTCTTCATTAGCTTGCCTGAAAAGGATAATAGGTCAAAACATAAAGTATCAGTATTCAATTAAGAAGTTCATTAATAAAACAAGTAATTCTAGGGCAAAACTTTTGTACAGATTGCAAACTAATAATACTTCTACAGACTGCAAACTAAATAGTTATAAAAACATTTTAAAAAGGTAAAAATGACATATAATGATATAAAACTCTAATTTTACTCTTCATAAATAGTTTTATTGTTACACCGCCCCAATAATTCATTTACATAACTTACAGCTGTGCATGAACAGCAAAGCTGAGTCATTCTAACAGTTACAGCATAGAGCACAAGCCTGGCCTGGCCCCTAAAAATGTTTGCTAATTTTGTTCTAGGAGATAAAAATGTTTTGTGGCATTTTCTATGAATGTAAGTTAAATCTTTCCATAATTCTTAGTAGAAGACACAGAGCAATTTTTAAGCAATTTTGAAGAATATTTGCAATTCAGTTTTCTAGAACAGCAAAAAATATAAGGTTTAAAGTTGTGAATACAGTTATACTGCACATTTATGTACTCTATTTACCTAAAAATGCCTGTACATTCAAACCTAAAAGTAAGCAAAAATTTCTGAGTTGATAAACCATATGCCACAAACCTTCCCCTAGTTAATATTTATTCCTATATTGAACTCATTTTTATTGGATATTTTGCTGATTCTCCAGATGATAATGCTTTATATTTAGATGTAAGGAGAGAGTAAAAGTTAAAAAACTGGCATTACTGGAAGTACATAAACACAGTAAGAGAAATATAAAATAACAAGTTATTGCTCAACCATTAAAAAATAAGAGTGCTTCTTTATGCTTGACTAGTCTCGGTTTATTTCTTCCTTTACCTAAAAATGCAACTAAAGAAATAATTAGGTACAATGCCACAGTAACAAAAAGACTTAGAATCACCAGTAGATAAAAAATTGCAAGAAATATTTGGAAAACAGCTGGCAAAATAGTTTTGATGAGTAAAGCTAAAATCTCAGAGGCAAATGCAGCACAGTAAGAAACTAAGAAAAACACTAGATTCTTAAGCAGCAGACACTGGAGATAAGAAATGCAGCTAAACACAAGGGTCATAATTAAACTTCTTTATACCAATAATATATCTAACTTTTGCCCCCCAACTAATCCCAATGTTTGGCCTTCCAATTATTTAATGATTAGACTATCAAATAAATCACCATATATATAAGAAAAATTTGATTTTAAAAAACCACTATTTTTAATTTTAAAAATTAATCAAAAATAAGAATTTCCAAACAAAACCTGATTCCAGAACAGTCAAAACACTAATAATAATAATAATAATAATAATAATAATAACTAGTACACTTAAAAATAAGACATTCCATTTCTCAAAAACTACATAGGATCTGAGATTTTATCCCACAATCTAACAAGCTAATCTTTTAATATTACATTAATTCTGGTGAACGACATAACACTGTTGAATCAGAGACAAAGAACTTTGTTACTTCCTTTTTCTTTGCAGTAGTTCCCCTTGTCCCCAGGTTTCACAAGGTGCCACAAGCGGCTTTTCATGGATGCCAGCACACACAACTGACTGCATTACAGGAAAGGACCACTGACTACAGAGGACTTACTATTTTTATAGAAAGTGATAAAAAGCTTAAACTTGTGTGCAGAAAGACATCTAACTCCTTAAGGCTTTTCATGGCACACACAGCCCTGAAAAACTCCCTGGTTAAGAGCAGCAAGGTCTTGGTGCTCTTGCCACACCCAGGTGGAAGATGGAGGACCCTCAGGGCCCACGAAGATGGCTTCACCCAACAGCATCCAAATAATTAATAATAAATAAATAATTTAAAAACAAAAACTAATCTAGAGATATAATCCAATAAATGCACTTTCAAATAGAGTTTAAATGCATATAGGTAACTAAAAAAGAAACAAGAAATTATACCAAACTAAAAAGCTGCTACTGTACAGCAATAGAAATAAGACAGCGAAGAGACAATGTACAAAATGGGAAAACAGTACAGATTACTTAAAAAGTTAAAAATAAAACTAGCATATGACCCATGTACCCATTTATTCAAGGGAAATGAAATCAGTATATCAAAAAGATACCTGTACTTCCATATTTATTGTAACACTGTATATAATAGCCCTTATACTGTCTACATTGATGGATGAAAATATAATGAAAATGCAGTAAATAATACAGAGTATAATACTATTAGTCTTTTTTTTTTAAAAAAAAAAAGGACAAAATCTTGTCATTTGCAGCAATTATGGATGAACTTGAGATCCTGGTGAGTAAAACAAGGCAATCACAGAAAGGCAAATACCACATGATTTCACTCATAGCGAGAATATATTTTTTTAAGAGGTGAACTAACAGCAATCAGAAGCAAAATCATAGTTAGAAGAGACTGGGGAGGGGAGGAGAGGAAAGGGATGGGAATAACTGCTAAATGGGTACAGTCACAGCCAGACAGGTGAAATTAGTAGTGTTCTACTGTACAGAAAGTGATTCCAATTAACAATATTTTATCAGTACAAAATAGCTGAAGAAATAATTTTCAAGATTCTCATCAAAAATAAGTGATAAATGTTTGAGATGATGGGCCATCTTAATATCTGAGTTCATCAATACACAATATATACATGAACCAGAATATCACATTATACTCCATAAAAATGTATATGAGTTATAATTTTTTAAAAATTTTAATTTAAATATTTAATTTAAATATTTTTAAGTATCTATTGTTTTGGAGAGCAAACAAAAAACCCAAAACAAAATGCAAATAAAGAAGAAATATTTCTAGAGATAATACAATTAAAGGAAATTACCCAGGTGCTCAGTATGTAAGAGGAATGAGAAAAGATCAATCTGAGAAACACTGCGGTGTTTCAGAGTACTATATATGTAAAGAAGATTCGAAAGGTTTTCTTAGAATAAAATTTTGTGACAAGGACAAACAAAATCAGGTTGGGTCAGATATTAGCAACACCAAACACCAGCAAACAGAGCAAGATATTAAGAATTTTGAGAAGATATTTTCTATTTAGAATTTTATGTTGAGCCAAACAACCAAGTTTGAAATAAATATGTTCTCAAAAAATGTAAGGACTCTGAAATTTACTTCTAATACATCTGCTCAGGAAATTACCGTAGGATATAATTGATAGAATGAGTTATATAAGTGAAAAAGAGAAAAACATGAGACTATGACCAAAGCACTAAAAGCAGGAGGAAAGTGAGAAAGATGTACTCTAATTATGCAGCCAGGAAGTGGCCACTACAAATTACAACAGGAATTTAACTGCAAATCAAGATGAAGAAAATAGATTGTAAGGAATCGATAAAATCATAAATATGAGGAAGATATAATAAAGACCACAGTAAAACATTTGCTCCCACACAAAGATAAACAATTTTAAAAAGAACACAAGAGGCAAGATCCAAATAAGAAGCAAATCAAAATATATCATAAATTGTATTGGTGAAAAAAAAGATTATTTTGAACAGTCTCTTTTAAGGTGGGTAGAGGTTGTAAATAATGGGCCTGTAGAAGATGAACAATAAACATTACTTCCTGTTTTTCTGTGCATGCTATCTATGTGGAAACAATAACGTAGACACTGTTCATTTCCTTTCAACTTACTAAATCAACCTTAGGGCACAGATATAATTTTGGTTACAGTATAGAATGTAAATGCTATCCATAATGACAATATAGAAATACAATTAATGTGATTTGGTAGGTAAAAGGAAAGGAGATATGATGGGGAAGGTAGTGCTTCCTAATCCTTATGTTACAAATTAAGGAATCTAGAAATATCATCTATAGTTAATGAACAGGAAGTATAAGAATACTGTTTATTGTCATAATATAATCAAAAGAAGAATTAAAGAGTCATGAAAATTATGAGATAAATTGAATCTTTACCTATCCTAGCAAGAAATGTAAAGATCAAGCTCGTTGTATGAAATACCATTGTAACGTGTAGGGACACAAGAAAGAAAAGATTGAGAAAACACAAGGGAATAATTGTGATTGTCCTTATCCTACACGTCTGCAATAGGTGAGTGCATGGGCCAGAGTTTACAGTTCTTCTGTTTTTTGTGCTGCTTTTCTTTTTTTAAATTTCAAACAGAATACACAGTTTAAATGTGACTAAAAATTCATTTTAAGAAGCCTAAATATGAACAGCTGTATAATCTGAGGAATAAATATATCTTAAGGACATCAATTTATCAGAGCATAGTACAGAAACTAATCACTATAATGATTATAAGACTGTAATGTGCTCATTGGGTAGAAAACTATGCAGGATTTTTTTTAGAATGTTTTAAATGAAAATGCTTACAAATTCTAAGTTATCCTGGTTAAGTAAGAGTTCATTGTAAATTCACTCAAAGACTACTAATCATCAAATAGCAAGAAGTAAGTTAATGTTTAAGTTTCCTCTTCTAACAGTGTTGATGTTTTGGTGGGGAGACATATAATTAATAACTAAATGAATAAAAAATTATTAACAGTGAGATATATACCAAGAAATATAAACAGGATAGATAGATGACATTGAAAAATAATGGAGGATCGACTTAGATGGTGAGATCACAAGAGGCTTCTCAGATGAAGTTTATACGAATGCTCAAATGCCAAGAATGAGCAAAAGCCATCACTGAAAACAGCTACAATGTTGAACATTTCAGGCAGCAAGAGTAGCAAGCACAAAGGTCTAAAAAAAAGAACGAATTTAAAATGCTGGTAAAATTGTAGGTGACATACAAATGAGAACATGTTGTTTCCTAGAGGAATAATACAGAACACATAGTTTAAGCCTTTCCTCAATGCTATATTCCATATTCTAAAATAACTGAGTTATTTTATATATAAAAAAACTGAGTTAAAACCAACATGAGCCCTAAGATCTGCTTTTATTTTTGTCAACAGAATAAAATACTAGTGGTAAGCATTCATCACCGATTTTCAAAGAAAACGTAGTAATAAC